TGAAGGAGGTTTGCTTACAGAGGAGGAGAGGTCACTGTGACGATGGAGCAGACATCAGAGTGACGTGGCCATGAGCCAAGGGACGTCAGCAGCCACCAGGAGCTGAGAGAGGTGAGGAAGGGCTTCTCCCTTGGAGCCTCCAGAGGGAACTAGTGCTGCTGACATCTTAAGTTTAGCCCCTTAAAATCCATTTTGAATTTCTGATGTCTGGAACTATAAAAGAACAAACCTGAGTTGTTTTAAGCCACTGAGTTTGTGGCAAGTTGTTACAGGGGCCATAGTGACATCAGCCACTTCAGGACCAAGAGCCTCCCTGATCTGGCTTCCAGCATATTCGTGCCTGCTCTCCACCCCCCACCCCATGGCTGACCCCACACTCCCACCAGGGCTCACCCTCTGCTGGACCCGCTCTGGTACACGTCTCAGCACCGCATCACCAAGGCCTGGCCATCTGCCTGCCCCCTTCCCATCCGTGGCCTGTCCTCATAGGATGCCATTCTCTCCCCAATCCATTGCTTTGGCCCCCCTGCCTCCAGCCTGGACCAGAGCCACTGGCTAAAATGCAGAACTAGCTGTCAGGCCCCTTTCCTCTGGGGGCTGCCCACTGCCTGCAGGATGCCATCCTGGCTCTGGAACATTCCAGGCTGCAGCCCCTGAACGCTCCCAGCGTCTGCTCTGGCTCCTGGCCCTGCTTACTCCTGAGGCGGCCCTGCAGAAGCCTGGAAAATGTACAGCGGGGCAGCAGGGGGACAAAGGGCTTGGGCCGTTGAGTTAAGACTTTGCAGCGCCCAGTGCCCTGTCTGCTCTCTCACAGGCTTTCCTTGGCAACGGCTGGGCAGAGTGCTCCCCAGGGTGGCGTGTTCCCTTTGCCAGCCAGGGAGGACGCTGCAGCCTGACAGCAGCAGGCAGAGGCTTGGCACTGGCTGCTTACCCGGAGGAGGCAGCCAAGGTCACGGGCCCTGAGCTGTCTGACTGCTCTTCCTTTAGCCAGGGCCCAATGCAAGGTGGGGCTGGAGGGCATGCTGGCTCAGCAGCAGATCCATGGGACAAGAGCCACCTGCCTAGCAGGAGCTCACAGCCCCTTCTCTGTCCCAAGACCCAGAAGAGCAGTCCCAGAGGGTGCAGAGGACCTCTGCGTCTCATAAGCACGGGTGGCCAATGGAAGCCGTGTTTTATTTGGTCCATATGGTGCTTTTCAGAAATTTGAAGCAGCATTTTAAAATCAGGAAAGTTCACATAAAACTTCTGATGTCTGCATCCTCTTAACAGTAAGAGGATAGCTGTTCCAGGCCCACACTCCCACCAGGTCATGGTCAGAAGCCAAGGAGGGGTCTCTGCTCTGTCCTGCACCCACAGTGAGGCCAGGCTGGATGCCATGTGCTGCTGCATTCACACTGCTGTTTTCCTTTGAGCAAAGGCATATTCTCTGTGTCCAAGTTTATATCAAAAGCAGGGAAATGAAAGCCAGGCCAAGGGTGGGTGTAACTATTTTTCTTACTCCTGCTGCCGTTCTCACTGGCATTGCCTGCTGGGCCCGGCAGGCCTGTGCATCTGCAGCCCTTCTCTTGGGATGGTAGGACTTTCCGCAAAGGGCACCATGTGTCTGACAGAGAGACCATATGCAGCACAGGACCCAGGGATCTTTCCCACCCTGTGGGGACCCTTCCCAGAACCTCAAGTTCAGTCCCCCTCAGACAGCCAGGCCCTTGCCGTCAACAGCAAGGCCAGCTTCTCTGTATTCATGGTCTTGGGGCCAGCCCAGCCATAGCATAGCCCAGTCTCAGCTCAACCCAGCCTCTCCTGGCCCCACAGCCTAGCTGAGACTGGACGAGGGTCCAGCAGAGGCAGAAGGTCAAGGGGCCTGCCTGGGCTGTACCTGAGCACTATCCTCTAAGAAGGAATGAGGGAGGACTACAGCATCATTCCTCCACAGATGTGCACCCTCTTCACTGCACAGCCAGCCTGTAGGGGAGCACTGACTCACTTCCTGTATAAGCTTAATGGTGGCCCCAAAAGATACATGATCTGAATCTCTGGGACTGGATGTTACCTTATATGACAAAAAAGGACTTTGCAGATGTGATGAGATCACGGATCCTGAGATGGAACAATCGCCCTGGATGGTCTGGGTGGGCCCAAATGCACTCACAAGCATCCTTATAAGAGGGAGGGAGACCAAGGGAGAGGAAGAGGCCATGTGACCACAGAGGCAGACATCAGAATGATGTGGCACAAGCCAAGGGATGCCGGCAGCCACCAGGAGATGGGAATGGGTTCTCCCCCCACCCCCCACCAGGGGCTCTGGAAGGAGCATGGCCCTGTCAACACCTTTATTTGGCCCATTAATACTCATTTTGGATTCTTCCCTCTAGAAGTATGAGAATAAACTGCTGTTGTTTTAAGCCACCTGGATAGTGGTACAATGTCACACTGGCTTGAGACTAGGAGGGAGTGACAGGTCAGGATCACCAGGCTGGGGCTCCTCTTCCCACAGCCACTAGCCCCGGCTTCCCCTCAACAACCCCAGATGACAAGGCTGACGGAAGGCAGCCAGGAAAGGGCTCAGGCAGGAGCCCAGGACTCAGAGTGGGGCCCTCTGCATGTATGTGTGCAGGCGCCAGCATACACGTACACACACATGCACACATACATGTGTGTGCGCACACACAAATGTGCATGCCTGCAAGGCCAGTGAGGAGAGAAACGCCCTTCCCCTCCCCCTCAGCCTCTTGCCCATCTTGAGGGTAACACCAGCAACACTAAGCTGCTAAGTGCACACACCGGACAGGGGCCTGAATCTATGACGTCATGTTAAAGCCTTCACTTTCCATCGGTTTCTGTGGGCAATCTGAAACCCTGCAACTGACCTCAGATGAGGGAGACTATTAGTGATGATGACTCTCTGAGGCTTGGCCAGCCTGAGACACTCCAGGAAGCCTGCTGGCTGCTCAGGGAACATAGGACAATGTGTCTCAGCATCACAGAGGACCCGTGTGGGATACCCTCCCAGCCAGACCAAGAGCGGAGGTGCTCCCCTTCTCCAGAAGACCCATCACCCACTGCCCATCAATAGCTGAGGGGTTCAAACCCACTTCCAGAAGTTGCTTGGGGATGGGGGTGGGAGGCAGGAAGGAGTCTCTGGATGCTTCAGCCTGGGCCACATCAGTATGGCAGGGTCTCCATCAGAATTCACCAGGGAAAAGTAACCCCTACTGCGCATGTATACACTGAGGTCCTGGGCTCTGTGTCGTCTTACAGGAAAGCACAAGGAACAAATGTGCCCAGCCAAGGACACTGCTTTTCTATATCTCCCAGCTGCACTGTGGGCCCTAACTGGGCCCAGGCTGATGAAGGGCTGGACTGTCTGAGGTCACCTCGGGCCCTCAGCCCAGCCACAGCATAACATGCGTCTGGGCTCCCTCCAGCCAGAGAGTGGGCCTCAGCCCAGGCCAAGTGGGAACAATCAGGCACGTCCAGAGAGAAATGTGCTTTCCATGGACCAAGTCACCCACACAGGGTCATGCTGACACTGGGCAGGGACATGAAGGAAGGAGGACTTGACCTCAGACCCTGGGCCTGTGGCCTGGAGCCTATACACCCACCGTTCCGGGCTGAAGCCCAGAGCTCAGCCTAGACAGGCTCCCCCTGCCCCCTTATACGGCAGCCTCAGCCCCCAAATGGTGCGATTGACCTAAGCCAAAGGTTTTTAGGCTTATTCTGAGTTTGAAATTCCTTTCTTAAGTTCTGAGTTCTAAGCTGTCGCCAAAGTAGGTGGAAAGAGGGCAGGGGGAGGGGAGGAGTTAATAGAAGACGCCAAAGACCGGCAGAAGCCCCGCAAATAAGGCCAGGCCAGGCCAGCCAAGACGGCGGTGGAGGCTGTCGTTCAAGAAGGTAGCCCCCACGTGGAACTGGGCTCAGAAAATGCGCCCAGGGCACCTGGCAGCCCCTCACCTCACCCAGCTTGAGCCAGGCCCCGGGGACCACCTTGAATCTGCCAATTGAGGCCAGCCCAGAAGCACCAGGCCCAAAGCACAAAGTGGCAGGCCCTCGGCTCTCCGAGACACAGGGTTTTCTAATCCCACTGGACAGATGAGAAGACAGAGGCAGGAGGTCCAAACTTGCCCAAGGGCAGCTGGCCATCGAGGAGCAAAGCCAGGGACCGGGTCCCTGGTCTGGGGTCATTAACCTTGCTAAATTTTCACTCGCAGCCACACCCTATGGGAGTGAAACATACTCTTCATGCCTCCCCCTGCAGACAGGTCCAAGGGTGGGACAGAGCCAGGATGGGTTGCGGCTGGGGAAAGCCAGGCTGCCCAGACCCCACTGTTGGCAGCCCAGGCGGACAGCAATTCATCACCTGGGACGAAGGGGCTGCCGAAAGTATTGATCAGCTCCAGAGAGCTCTGGGCTTCCTGGTGAAACAATTCCTTTGCAAAGATATCTGACACCACTCCTTGAAATCAGAATGGTGCCCTGCCAGGCTGCACCCAATTTATCTGTCAAGCTGGGAAGACAGAGACCTAAGATAAATGAGCCAGGGCTGCTTGGGGTGATGGGAGAGTCTCTGCAAATCCCAGCTGGGCCTCGGAGCTCACTGTAAACATGCACACGAGTCTGGCCCAGGACCCAGGCTTCCTGCCATCTGCCACTAGCCAGGAGTCTAGGACCAGAGGTTGAGAGCAGAGCCCACCCTACAAGAGCCAGGCTTGGGCAAGGTGGCCTCATCTGGACCCTGGGGCCCTGGGGCCTATGAGGCCTGCTAGGCACAGTCAGACCCTGACCTGGCCTCACTGTAACCCCTGATAGAGATTCCAAGAACCCTGGAATGGTTTGGGCTGGCCTGTGAGCCTGGCCTCCTGGGGGGCTCTGAGAGGCTGTGGCCAGGGGCTGTCCCCATGCCTGCCTAGCAGCTCTGTCCATGCTCCAGAGCTCAGAGTGCACTTTGATTCTTAGTTGAAAAAGACAAAACCTCACAGCCTGCTCACCTGCAGTAGCCTTACCTGTGTCCAGGGCCTGCGGTCCCCCCAGAGGAGGGACCCTGGGGGTGGGCGGCCGGCGATACAGCACATGCACACGGCCCTGTTCAGCCTCCCTTGCTGCCAGCCCCTTTTGCAGAGGCTCGATGAAGAACTCCTCGTCCTGCATTCGGATCAGTCCAGCCTGCCGGGCAAAGATGAGACGGTTCAGATTCCCAGAGCAAAACAGACCCAGTCTGGGAGCAGCGAGGAGGGCCTGAGGGCAGAACCTCCCACCTAGCAGAGCTAGGTGCTAGGCTTGAACCCTGGGCCAAGGAGGGCACAAGACAGGTGACCCAAGGAGTTCCATCTGCCCAGAGCCTCCACTGCCCCCACTGTATGTTCCTTTATGCACATCGTCACCAGCCCAGATTCTACAGCAACTGAGCCACTGCCTCCCCCAAGACCACCATGGCCCTCCTGCTGCGAAACCCTCACTGAACCCCCATCTTCATCACATTCAGGCTGCTCTGCACTCTGGAATCCAAGTCTCTCATCTTGCCACGGCCCTGCCTCGCCCTGCCCCGCCCTGCCTCACCGTGCCACCGCCCTGCCTGCCCCGGTTCACACACCTCACACCAGTACCTGGAACAGCCCTCTCCTCCATACATGCCGTGCACAGCCAGGCCTTCCTCCCCGTGAACTGACCTGACCCTCAGCTTGTGAGGCCCTGCTCCTGCCCCCCATTTTGACCATCTGTTAAACTCTGATTCTCCCTCAATGCCTGGCCCAGACTCCCTGCAACTGCCACGCCCCGCCTCCATGGCCCTGCCCTTTCCTTGGCTATCCTTGGTCACTGCCCCATCCAGCTCCCACACTTTTGATTTTTTGGTTCATTATCCATAAACCAGTGGTCTGGCACTGGGCTCCCACAGTGTTACCCTGCAGATATGTTTCTTTTAGATCACACACTTATGACCCCTGAGGAGTATGTTTTGTTTTTTTTTAAACCACTTTATTGAGGTATTATTGACATGTAAAAAACTGCACGTATGTAGTATGTACAACTCAATGATTTGAGAATAAGTTTCCACTTGTGAAACCATGACCACTATCAAGGCCATAAACATATCCATCACCTCTCAAAGTTTCCTCCTACCCTGTTATTATTATCATTTTTTTGGCAAGAACACTTAACATGAAATGGACCCTCTTAGCAAATTTTAAGCGTACAATAGAGTATTGTTAGTTATAGGCACTATATTGTTAGTTATAGGCACTATACTAAAACTGAAATTTTGCATACTCTGACCATTACTTCCCATTTTGCTCTCCCCCCAGCGACTGGCAATTACCACTCTGCTCTCTGCCTTTATGAGTTTGACTTTTTTAGATTCTATATGTAAGTGAGATTCTACAGTATTTGGCTTTCTGTAGCTAATGTAATTCACATAGCATAGTGTCCCCCACTTTCATCCATGCTGTCACAAATGATAAGATTCCTTTCTTTATAAAGTCTGAATAATATTCTATTGTACATGTGTACCACATTTCTTTATTAATTTGTTGTCCTTAGGTGGACATTTAAGTTGCTTCCATGTCCATTGTGAAAAATTGTACAATGAACATGGGAGGGCAGGTATCTCTTTGATATCCTGATTTCATTTTCTTTAAATATATACCCAGAAGTGGGATTGCTGGGCCAAAAGGTAGTTCTGTTTATAAGGTTTTGAGGAACTTCCATATTATTTTCCATAGTGACTTAACCAATTTACATTTCCACCAACATTGCACAAGTGTTCCCTTTTCTCCACATCTTCGTCAGCACGTTACTGCTTGTCTTTTTATTATTATTATTATTATTATTATTATTATTATTATTATTATTAGTTTCGGGGTTACAAAACAATGTAATAGTTAGACATTTACTCCCCTCACAAAGTGATAACCCCTCCCCAACAATCTACTACCCGCCTGACATCGTGTATAGCTGTTACAATTCCATTGACTCTATTCCCTATGCTGTATTCCAGTCACCTCTTCTTGTTTTTTTTTATGATAGCCATTCTGACAGGTGTGAGGTGATAGCTTATGATTTTGATTTGCATTTCCCTGATGATTAGTGATGCTAAGTACCCTTTCCAGGTACTTGGTCATTTGTATCTCTTCTTTGCAAAAAATGTCTATTTCAGGTCCTTTGCCCATTTTTTAATCAGATTATTTGGGGGTATTTTGCTATTTAGTTAAATAAGTTCCTTGCATGTTTTGAATATTAACTCTTTATTCAATATATGTCTTGAAACATTTTCTCCCATTCTATAGGTTGCCTATTCATTTTGTTGATTATTTCTTTTGCTGTGCAGAAGCTTTTTAATTTAATATAGTCCCACTTGTTGATTTTTGCTTTTGTTGCTTGTGTTATTGGTGTCACATCCAAAAAATCATCACCGAGGCTCATGTCAAGGAGTTTTTTCCCTATATTTTCTTCCAGGAGTTTTATGGTGTCAGGTCTTACATTTAAGTCTTTAATTCATTTCAAGTTAACTTTTGTGAGTGGTATGAGACAGGGATCCGATTTCATTCTTTTGCTTGTGAATATCCAGTTTTTCCAACACCAGTTATTGAAGAGACCATCCTTTCTCCTCTGAGTATTCTTGATTCCCTTATCAAATATACATTGACCATATATATGCATGGGTTCATTGCTGTGCTCTCAATTGTTTCACTGGCTGTTTTTATTTCAGTACCATACTGTTTTGATTCCTGTAGCTTGTAATATAGTTTGAAATTGAAAAGTGTGATGCCTCAGCTTTGTTCTTTCTCAGGATTGCCTAGGCTATTCGGGGTCTTCTGTAGTTTCATATGAATTTTAGGATCATGTCATCAGGAAACAGAGACCATTTTACTTCTTCCTTTCCAATTCTGATGCCTTTTACTTCTTTTTCTTGCCTGATTTCCCTGGCTAAGACTTCCAGTACTATGTTAAATAGAAGTTGTGAGAATGTGCACACTTGTCTTATTCCTGATCTTAGGGGAAAACTTTCCACATTTCACCATTGAGTGATGTTAGCTGTGGGCTTGTCATGTGTGGCCTTTATTATGGTGAGGTATGTTCCTTCTATACCCACTCTGTTGAGAGTTATTAGCATGAAAGGAGGTTGTATTTTATCAAATGCTTTTTCAGCCTCTATTGTGATTATTGTATGATTTTTATCTTTCATTCTATTAATGTGGTGTATCACATTTATTGATTTGCATATGTTGACCCATCCTTGGATCCCAGGGGTAAATCCCACTTGATCATGGTGTATGATCCTTTTAATTCTGTTAAATCCTGTTAAATTCTGTAAATCCTGTTGAATTCAGTTTGATATTTTTTGCTGAGAATTTTCGTATCTATATTTATCAAGGATATTGGCCTGTAGTTTTCATTTCTTGTAGCATCCTTACTTGGCTTTAGTATCAGGGTAATGCTGGCCTTGTTGAATGAATTTGGAAGTCTTCCCTCCTCTTTAATTTTTTGAAATAGTTTGAGAAAGACTGGCGTTAATTCTTCTTTAAATGTTTGGTAGACTTCACCTGTGAAGCTTTCGGGGCCTGGGCTTTGTTTTGTTGGGAGACTGATGACTGATTCAATCTCCTTATTCATTATTGGTCTGTTCCGATTTTCTATTTTTTCAAGATTCAGTCTTGGTAGGTTGTATGATTCTAGGAATTTATCCATTTCTTCTGTGTTGTCCAATATCTTGGTGTATAATTGCTTATAGTAGTCTCTTATGAGCCCTTGTATTTCTGTGGTATCAGTTGTAATATCTCTTCTTTCATTTATAATTTTATTTATTTGAGTCCTCTCTTTTTTTTTTCTTGCTAAATCTAGCAAGAGGTTTCTCAATTTTGTTTATCTTTTCAAAAAAACACCTCTTAATTTCATTGGTCTTTTGTTTTCTGGCCTCTATTTCATTTATTTCTCCTCTGATCTTTGTTACCTACTTCCATCTTCTAAATTTGGGCATAGTCTGTTCTTCTTTTCTAACTCTTTGAGCTGTAAGGTTAGATTGTTTACTTGAGATCTTTCCTTTTTATTATGGACATTTATCACTATGAACTACCCTGTTAGAACTGCTTTTGCTGTATCACATAAGTTTTGGTATGCTGTGTTTCCATTTTTGTTTGTTTTAAGATATTTTTTATTTCCTTTTTTATTTCTTATTATTTGACCCATTGGTTGTTCAAGAGAGTGTTGTTTAATTTCTACATATTTGTGAATTTTCTAGTTTTCCTCCTGCTATTGATTTCTAATTTCATACTACTGTAGTTAGAAAAGACAACTGGTACAATTTTACTCTTTTACATTTGCTAATACTTGTTTTTTGACCTAACATGTTATTGATCCTGGAGATCATTTCATGTACACTTGAGAAGAATATGTATTCTGCTTCTATTGAATGGAATGCTCTGTATATGTCTGTTAGGTCCATTTAGTCTAAAGTACAGTTCAAATCCAATGTTTCCTTGTTGATTTTCTGTCTGGATGATCTGTTCACTGTTGAAAGTCCCCTACTATTATTGTATTGTGTCTATTTCTCCCTTCAGATCTGTTACATTTGATTAATATACTTAGGTGCTCTGATGTTGGGTGCATAGATGTTTACAATTGTTATATTGTCTTGATGAATTGATCACTTTATCATTTATATAATGACATTTTTTGTTTCTTGGTACAGCTTTTGACTTAAAGTTAATTTTGTCTGATAGAGAATGGCTACCCTTTTTCTCTTTTGGTTTCCATTTGTGTGGAATACCTTTTCCATCCCTTCATTTTGAGCCCATGTGTATCCTTAAAGCTGAAGTGAGTCTCTTATAGGCAACATACAGTTGGACCTTGTGTTTTAATTCATTCAGCCACTCTATGCCTTTGATTGGAGAATTTAACCCATTTACACTTAAAGTGGTTGAATAGGTAAGGACTTACAAATTCCATTGTGTTCATTGCTTTCTGTTTGGTGGTTCCTTTGTTCTTTTCTTCTTCTCTTGTTGTCTTCCTTGTGAGTTGATGATTTTCTGTAGTGGCATACTATGATTCCTTTCTGTTTATCTTGTATGTACCTACTACAGGTTTTTGTTTTGTGGTACCCTGAGGCTTACTTGAAATATCTTATAGATATAACAGTCTATTTTAAATTGATAACAACTTAACTTTGATCA